ACAACAACCCACAACCATTAGAATATCAATTTACACACTAATCTCCACATATTTTATGTTCTCTCTCGATACCTCTTTTTTCACCATCTTACAATCCTCTACCCTTGAATCCCCCCCTCATCCTGTTTTCCCTCATTTAACTTCAACCATCTTCACATATCTTTACTCTTTGACCCTCCTCACCTTTATACCTGCTAACCCAACCACCCCCTATTAGCTCAAATCTCCCTATACCCCCATATAACCCACTCCCCTCACCATCCCTTACCCTCCCCTTACAAAATTACTTTTGTCCACCCCCCACACTACCGCTCATCATTGTAACCATTCCGCTACTCCCCCCCCACCTACCACTAACATTAAATTCTTGGTCCCACCCAATTATCCCATCATTAAAATGACAAGTAATATCCCCACCTACAACAAATTAAGATACCCGAATCCCAGATTAAATATCCCTCTCAATGCTATTACAATATCAAACCTCAAATTATTACACCATTCAAACCCATAAACCAACCACACGTGAATTACTGTGTTCCGACCATACCCTCCCACTAATACATATTATATTCACTATAAAATATCTACCCTAGCCAATTGCTATACTATATAAACCCAGCAGCCACCTAACCCACACCCCTAAATAGCTTACCACAATCCAGTACTCAACCCCCTGGACGGCCCCTATTTATAGAGCCCCCTAAATTTCTCCAGGCGCTCAAAACACCAAAATTACATACCATGTGAGTTTATAGTTGTCAAACAAATAAATAACCTCTTTACCAAATATTAATCAGTTCTGCTTTTAACACAAATCTTACCATAAAACCCCTTCTTCCACACCAAACAATACAAACTACCACAAACAACAATATCCATACATCCACGAAAAAGACACACTGATCTCGTCCTATCCATTCACTTCCCGCAGCATTCTCACCAACCCGGTTAAATCATACACATTCTAAGGATATCAATATATCCAAAAATCCTTATATTATCTCATTCCACCCCCTAAACAAATCTCTACTCAACCTCAGTCCACCTCACATATCACATCCCCACTTTCATACCCCCATACATCCCAAAACCCTCCCAACCCAAAACACCCCCCAAACCACCATAATTCTACCTTCTTTTAGTCCACTCTCACCCCCCCCCCTGACTCACTCACCCTTCCCCCACCTTCCCCATCACTAATTATTCTGACCCATATATTCTGTCATCACACATCTATATTTCAATCCAATCACTAACCCCCCTATTTTCTAATTTCACCTTTTCTTCTACATATAAATCCCCTTATCCCCAACTCCATCCTAATCCTTTTTTATACTTATTCTCATTAGACTCTTTTTTCAATCCCCCCCCCCACCAACCTCCATATCCCCACCATCCAACCCCACAGCTCTACATACTCCTCAACTCCACCGCACTAAACAAACATCATAACAAACATTCGATACCACCCAAAAAATACCTATTACTCAATCCCCAATCTTCCCAACATACCACACCTCCAGCCGCTTTCACCCCATCTATTTATACATGCTTTTCCCTATCCAGTAAACATCACTCCCACTCCTAATCCCACGACTCCCAAAACATTTGATACCAAAAACACTCTCTAAGCACCACTATAAACCCCCATTAATCACTATCCTATCACATTGCATCACCACACCCTAGACTATGTCCCAAACCTACATCACAAAAGTCACCCATCTCCGTCTACCAATCGCACCAACATTCCCTAAACCCCTTTACCACCTAACAAGCAAACAACACACATTTAATACACCCCACCCCATTTAAATACACGTCAAAACCTTTAGTGCTTTCCGCACAACTTGACTTTCGCACCCACCAGACACTTTGACATATTAATCACCAAAGCGTGGTATATCTGTTGCACCTCCAGCCATCTCCTAAATTGTGGATACAACACTCACCGCCGTATTGCCCCCAGATGACTTCGAGACCGCGGACAGTGACCCCAGGGACACACCTTTACCTGTCCCCCTCGTTTAGAAAATTACTCGCGGGGGCAAAGTACCCTACATATCTGGCCCAATGCACAACCCCCGGTTTTACCTCTCCTCCGCTTCCGCACACTACAAGCTCCCATATTCTCCCGACACAGAAAAGGTGGTATTCCCGGGCCGTATGAATAGAATGCTCCCATTTTTTCCTATATCAATGTGATTTGACCACTTCCCTACTCTTCCAATGTGGAACCCCTTGTATTGTCTTATCACCCTACAGAACTTTCCTTGTCGCCCCAATCCCTGTTCCTAGTCATACATCCCCTCATACCTTTAACCATCCATTCCTAGCCATTGTTTTCACCGTCAACCACCTGTACCACGTTTGATTTCCATTTTTCCACCCTTTTCCCGGGGAACCCTCCTTATGAGACTTAGACACGCTTTTACCCCCATGACATCAATCTTTCTATTGCCCCAAGTAACCCACCGTGGTGACCCTCTCCTTCGCTGGACCCTCCTCCGTCGCTTCCACATCACGTGACCCTCCCCTTTTTAAACCCCCCTTTCCCCCTCCTATTTCTCCCATATTTTCCTCTCAATTTTAAATTCCCCCTCCCATACCTTCCATTTTCACCCCCCTTTTATTTCAAATCACCCTCTCCTCAACCCCTTCCTTTTATCACCAACCTTTTTCCTACCTCCCCCCTCAAACCTTTCCACCAACCCCCCTCCAACCACAACTTAAAAAACACCCACCCCCAAACTACCATCAAAACCCCCCCTCTTCTCATTACACCCCTCCACACCCCCAATTAAAAAAATATTAAACACCCCACCCCACACCCCCTTACAACTACCCTTTCCCACACTTTCCTACAAACAAACCATCCCCCCCCCCCCACCCTAAAAATAACCCATTATTTACCCAAATCCCTTTCCCTAACCCTCTTTCCCCACTCCCACCACCAAAAAATCCATTCCACCAAACCTACAACCCCCCCCTACCCACACTTCCCCCCCACCCCCCCACTAAACTCTTCCAAAACAAAACTCAAAAAAAACTCCAAACCTATCAACACAAAAATACACTCCAAACCATCCCACACCCATACCTCATAACTTACCACTTTATCTTCAACCATCCTTCCTTCCTATCTCAACCCCTTTCCCAAACCCCTACATACTTCCCTTTACCTTAAAACCACACCTCCTACCCCACCTCCATCTCCCCATTCCAAAAACCACTAACACTTTATCTCCCCTACCCCACCACCCCAAAACACAACTCCAAACCCCACCCCTTTAATCTCCCCATCTCCATTCCTTAAACCCCCCCCATACCCTACCCCCTCAGTTTTCCATCCACCACCCCATTTTATCCACATTCATCATTAAATCATTAACTTCCTCTATCCTATACTAAACTCCCCTACTAAATTCCCCATAAATTTCTCTTAACAACAGTCCCTACATCCCATACTCCCCTCCGACACACAACAACCATATTTAACTTTTAACCCACACCCACAAACTAATCCACCAAACCATCCACCACTCCAGTCACCCCATATACTCTTACTATTCATCTACCCATCACTCATACCCTACCCTATACTAATCCTTCACCCCATTTCCCACCCCCAAATCTTCAAAAATGGCCCTCCCTCCCCGATACCCCCACATTACTACATACACAATCATATTAATCTCCCTACCATTTCTTCATATTCCTATACACACCAAACACAAACACATCTCCCATACCACTCCCACTACTCTCATATCAAACACTAAAATTCATCTTCACTAACACATTCATCCCCTCCCCCCAACAAATTCCACCATTTACTTTCTACATCACCCATCTATTTATAAATCTTTCTTTCCACTCTTACATTTAACATTCATCTCATTCCCCTCCCAATAATCCCCCCTCCCCCACCACTCTATCCCTCACACCTTCTACCCCACCCTCACCCTTCCAAACCTCAACAAAACCCCATACCATACCCCTCTCATCCATCATCCCCCTCCCAAAAACACCTAATTCCCCTACCCTACCCATACCTCCATTCACCCCCCTACCAACCAACAACCTTACCCTTCATACCCTATTCCCCAAATCCCACCCCAACCCAACAACCTCAATCCCACACCATCCCCACCCCCCCTCTACCCCCATCCCTTAAACTCCCCCCCATCCCCCAACTCCCTAATTCACCCCAAAAACTTTATAATCCCCCCCCCCCTCAACTTACTCCCACCCACCCCCACCCTATAATCCCCATTCCAACCTACCACCCACCCTCTTTTATCCCCTTACCTTCTATAACCCCCCCATTCCCAATCCTTCTTTACATACTTCCTCCCTCCTCCCCCCCTCTACCCCCCCACAACACCCCCCTCCTCCTTCAACTAATTCTTAAAAACCACCCCACTAACCACCCCCCCCCCATCCACCCCAAAAATCTACCCCAACCCATATCCAATCCACTCAAACATCTTCACATTCCCTCTAAATCTTTCCCCCTTATTCTTAAATACAATCAAATAAACCCCCCTCACCCCACCCTCCCCCTACCCATCCATCCACACCCCATTAACCCTAATTCCCTTCCACCCTCCCCACCCAACCAATAAAACCTAACCATTCCTAAAATCCAATAAACAACCACCCTCCAACCAACCAAAACATCCACCCTAACACATCAAATACAACACCATCCCCCTATAAACCTACCCTTATACACCCACTACACCCTCCCACCCCAACAAAACATCAAATTCCCCCCCCCCCTATCCCACCACATAATCCCCCCAATCTCCCATCCCTCCCACCTCAAAATATCAGCATCCACTTCACCCTTCATTTCACTTTATCCTCTTTTTCCATTCCCCCACCAACACATCCCATACCCCCCCCTCCTACCCCAAACCTCCCCAATATCAAACCCCACCCTTAAATACATAACACCCCCCCCCCCCTTCCAATATCCCACCCCACCAAAATTACCCCCCCATACCCCCACACAATACTATTAACCCTTCCCTCTCATCCCCAAAAACAACCCCACACCAATATACCCACCCACCCACAACCTTACCAACCCCACTTAACCCACAATACCCCCCCACCCCCCTCCACATCAACTTAAGCCCAACCCAACCCCCCAAATACACTCCCAACCCAAAAATCCCATAAAAAACCCCCTCAACCCTCCATACACTATCCAAACCCAAATTAATCACCCAACAAACCCCCCTACCATAAAACCCCCCCCCTATATCCCCAATCTCACCCCATAAAAACAACCCTTTATAAAATAACACCAAAACCCATCCCTCAAAATCCTATAACCCAAATCCACCCTCATAACAACCACCAACAACATATTCACCCCCACTCCCACAACCACCACCATACAATAAACCATCCCCTCAAACAAACACCATCAAACATCAAAAACCCCTTCATCACACCCCACCCCTTCCCTCCTCACAACCCACCCATATCCCCAAAATCCCAAATACAACAAAATACCCACACACACCCAACCCCCCCCCCCCCAAACAATAATAAAACATTCCACTCCCCACCACCAACAAAACAAACAAAAATTACACCAAACCCCTATAACCCCCCCCCCACCTTCACACCCCAACACACCTCAACTCATAAATATCCCCATTATACAAACACCAACCCCCCCTACCCTCCTCACTAAACATCATTCACCCCCTCAATATTTCCTTCCTCCTCCCCCCTTCTCACTCCTCCCCCCTATCTCCCCCCTCCTCCACCCCCCCCCCAACCCTCTACCCCCTACCATCCCATCCCAATCACCCTCACCCCCCCCCCTCTCCCCCATTTCCACCCCCCTTTCTCCCCCCCCTATCCTCCTCAAAACTTCCAACCCTCCATCCCCAAACAAACTAATTCACCCCAAACCCACTAACAAAAATCCCCATACTATAATCTTCCCCATCTCTAAATCCCCTTACCTCCCAACCCACAAAACTCCCATTAAACCTTATTATACCTCACTCTATTTAACCTCACTCTCTTATTCATTTCACTCCCAACTACCTCCTAAACACCCCCCTAAACACCCCACCAAATCTACCATATCTCCCACCCACCCCAACAATCCTCCCCCCAATAATCAAATACTCCCATCCCCAAAATATAACCCTCCATAACACCCAATCCCTTACCCCCTCCCATCCCACCCAATATATAAACCCAAATAATTACCAAATACAACCCCCCCCCCAAAACCCCTACCACATAAAACTTTTCCCCAAAACATCCACCCCCATACCCCTAAAACTATTACCCAATATCCAAAAAAACCCCCATCTTTAACCCAATAAATTCTCCCAAATCCCCCATACCACTCTCAATATATCCCAAACCCCTCCACCCAATTCTCTTTCCTTACATATAAATACCCTATCCCTATCCCCCCCCCCTCCCAAAACCCCCCACCCCCCACCCCCCAAAACCACCCCCCCCATCTACTCCCTCCACCCTCCTATAACCCCATCATTACAATTATCCCATACACACACCTCATATCCCAAACCACCAACCCCAACTACTCCCAAACCATACCCCAAAATCCATACACTCCCCCCACTCATATATCCCCCCCCTTCTCCCCATATCCCCCTAACCCATTACACACATCACACACCCCCCTACACACATATAACCCTTCTACATATCTACTCCCAACTTAACAAACCCCTAACAACACCAACAACCCCTATAACAAACCCCCCCCCCCCTCAATAACATAACCCTTACCCCCCATCCCCCACAACCCCCCCCCCCCCCCCCCACTAAACCCCTCCCCCCCCCCCTACCCCCCCTAACCCCCAATCTCCACCATCCCCCCCTTCCCCCCCCAAAACACACAAAAAACCCCCCCCCCCACAACAATCCCCCAACCAAATCACACACTAAAAACCCACATACCACTACATACCCATCCATACAAAACCCCAAACCCCAACTACCCACCATCTATTCCAACATTCACCTCCCCACAATCTTACCAACCCCTCACAACATCCCCCATACCCCCCCCCCCCCATCCTTCCAATTTACCATTTCCCAACATCATCACCCCCTCAACCACCCTTCATCTCAATCCCTCCGAATCCTCCCATACCATCTCTTCTCCACAAACCAAAAATTTTCCCCCCTCCAATACCTACCAATCCACCCCCAAACCCCCCACCATTCTCCTCCTACTCCCTCCAAATAAATAAAAACCACCTATCAAACAAATACAAAAAAAACAATCACCCTCCCATTCCCCTAAAACCACCATATTCCTAACCCATCCCCTCACAATCACAAACCCAACATAAACCCCACCACTACCACTACCCCCCCCACCCCCTCCTACATTCCACCCCCCCTCCATATAATTCTTCTCCAAATCCCACCCATTCCACCCCCCCAACCCATCATCAAAATTAACCCATAAAATCCCTTTTCTCCCCTCTATCCACCCCCCCCAACTCTTCCTCTCATAACCTTCATTAATATCCCTCTCATCATTACCCATTACCCCCTACACATTCCCCCCTCCCTCCTACTCCTATTACCACACACCCCAACCCCACCACACCTAACAACACTCTTTTCCATTACTAATTTACTACCATATAAACCATCATTAATCAACCCCAATCCTCCTCCACCTCCCAACCCTATATCTAATATACCCCCCCCCCCACTCCCCCTTCCCCCTACCCCTATCATCAAATCCCCCCCCCCATCATCCCAACCCCCACCTCCTCTCCATCCCCCACCCATCCTTCACCACATATCCCCATCCTATTCCATAACCCATACAACCCACACTTTCCCCCCCTTCCTCCCTCTCCCCCCCCCCTCAATCCCCCCCCTCCCCCTCATTCCCCCCCTAACCCCATAACCACCCCTCTTACCCTATCCACCAACTACCCCCACACCCCCCCTCTCCCACCCATACCCCGTTCCCCTACACTCCCCCATAATATCTCCCATTCCCCAAAAATAAACCATCCAATCCCATACCACCCCCACCCCCTCTCACCCAATTAACTCACAACCTCTCCAACCCCCTCCCAAATTCAAATCCTTTCCCTTCAAACCCCCCACCCATCCCCCAATCAATATATCCCCCCTATCCCCCCACCCACCCCCCTCCACTCCCCCCCACCTTCAACCCTCCACCTCCCCTCTTCCCCCTCTAATCCCATCTCATCACATCAATACCCCAACAAAATCATCTCCTTTCTTCTACACATAACCAACAATACTTCCCCTATAAAAAACCCCCTATCCCTCTCCCCCAATATATCCCCTACACATCACAATACTTATACTCCTATCTCCAACCTACAACAAATACACCCCCCCACCCATCCAACTCATAATCTCACCTTATCCAAAAAAATCCCCATAATTCTACCCCATACCACCAAAAACCCCACCTACTAATTCCTCTCACTACCCACCAATATCACCATCCCCATTCATCCTCCCCCCCCATTCCCCTTACCTCCCAATATTCTCTCCCTACCCAATTCATCCTACCCCCCCCATATTTCATTCTCTCTCCCCTCTAAAATATTCCTCTACTTATCTCCTATCCCTAAACACTATCCCCTAAACATATCCCATCCAACATCCTAAACCATCCCCTTCAACCCCACCACCTCACATCCTTTTCCTCCATAATCCTCAAAAATACTATTCCACCCACATCCCATACCCCCCAAAAATCCCCCCTCCACCACCTCTCCTCCCAAATCCATTTACACCTCTTCTTCCCACTACCCCACTTTCCCTCCCCCCCCCTCCCATCTTCCCTTCCCTCCCCCCCATTCCACCCTCTAACCCTTCCCACCTATACCCACCCACCCCCCCCCCCACCATCCAAACCCTCACTTCACCCCACCCACAACCCACCCCCACCCCCATCCAAACAAATATCTCTCACAACAAATAACAAATATTCTCTCTATTCACACCACTACAAAAACCCCCCTAATATCCCCCCAAACAACCCCCCACCCAATAACCAATAAATTCCCCACCAACCCAACCATACCCTCCCCCATTCCCCAACCTCCCCATATCATCTCCCCATACACAAAAATACACTTACCCTACACCATACACCCCCACACCACACCTCACCCCCAAACACATCACCCCCCCCCTCTACATACCCTACACACAAAAAAAACCCCAACTACATACCCAAAAACCCCCAAAACACCCATTCTTATATCCCTCCACAAAAACCTATACCCCCTAAATCCCAATACCCCCCCCCTACACCCCCCCCCATCAACTCCTACCCCCCCAAATATCTAACCCCCCTCTTACCCCATCCCCCATACCCCCCCTCAAAAAATACATATTACATACATCAACCCCAAAATTAAAAACCTCATCCAACAACATCCACACCAACCCCACAAAATAACCCCCTTTCCCTACATCCACAAACCCCTCCCATTAACCCATCCATTATAACTCCCTTTTCCACCCCCATTTTCCCCCACACAAAAACACAATCACATAATCCCAACCTAAATTTCTCAAACCATCAACACAACCCACACCCTAATACCATACCCATTTCACCCCCTCACAATCTAAACAACCCCTTATTCCCCCCCCAAAAACCCACACATCAACCCCCCCCACATACAACACACCCCACAACACACAAACAACACACACCTATACCACACACACAAACACCCACCAACACACCCCCCAACACCCCCCACACAACACCCCACACACCCCAACCCACACCCAACAAACCCAAACACCACACACCCACACACACACCCCACCCACACAACACCCACCACACAACACACCTCCACACCCCCCCCCACACCACACACCACACCACACCCACCACACACCACCAACACCCCACACCACACCACAACACACCCCACACAACCCCCCCCACACACAACACCCACCACACCACCCCACACACACAAAACACACACCCAACAAAACCCCCCACACCCACAAACACCCACACCCACACACACACCCAAACCACCAACACCCACCTACACACACACCCCACCCCCCACACCACACCCACACACCCAACACACCCACCACACACCCACACAACACCCCCCCCACACCCACTCCCCCACCACACACACACATATACCCCCTCCCACATCCCTCCAAACAAACAAAACCACAACCCCACAAAAAAAACAACACACAACATCAAACCCACCCCACCCAAACAAAACCCCAATCCAACACCCCATCCCCTACAATAACCCAATCAAAACCCCCCCTCATCAACAACACCCACCACCATTCCCCCTTCCCCCCCCTATCGCTCACCCCCTATCCCACACCCCATCCCCCCCCTTCTACCACCTCCATCTTCCCCCCAAAATCCCCATCTATTCTACCTCCACATATTCCACAATACTAAACCCAAATCTCCCCAAACAAACCCTCCCAATAAAATAAATACACCAATCACCCCATATCATATCAAAATATAACCCTCAACCACAAATCCACTTCCAAACTACCATATAACCAACCCCTAATACATCCAAACATACCCCCCACTCCCCCCCCTCTCCAATCCCCTTACAAACTAAATACCATCCCCCCTCCCACCACTCCACCCTCACCCCCCCCATAACCCCCTCACCATCCACTATCCAACTAAACCACCCATAACTCCACCTAATTAATACCCCAAAACCTCCTTTAAAACCCACTCTCCTTCTATCCCCTCCTTTCCCCCCCACCCCCTCCCCCCCTCACACCCTCCCCCTTTCACAAACAATCCCATATCATACCCTACTACATAAAACCCCCCCAACTCATCTACTTCATAATATAAAAAAAAAACACCCCCCCCTAACCCCACCCATTCAATCATCCCCCACATAAACCCCATCAATTATCACACCACCATATACCCAAAACCAAACATATTACAAAAAAATTTACTTACTCAACAAAACCTATAAACCAAATCCAAAACTCCCCATTCACCAATAACACAACAACCTTTAAACATACTACCCATCCCCTCCCTCCCACCTAACCCCCCCAAACCCAAAACCCATACCAACACCCCTAACCTACCTACCAAACCCAATATAATCTCCCAACTCCCCACAAAATTACCACCACCCCCCTTCCCCAATAACTAACAACCCCAACCCCCAAATCACAATAACACTAACAATCCCCATCCCCCCGAAAAAAACATATTCACCCTCAATCCCTAACCACCAACCCACACAAAAACACCACCCACCTAATAATTATAATCTCTCTAACTTTAACCATACCATCTTCACCCCAACCACCCCTCATATACCTAACCCTCCCTAAAAAAATCAAAAATAATTAAAAACTCCACCCCTATAACCATATCAACACCCCTCCCACATTCTAAAATATCCAACACCCCCATAACCTAACCCGTTCCTAAACATAATACCAACCTTTCCCTACCTAAATAATACCCTATAAATATACATCCAAAACCTACACACCCCCACCATCTCCAAAACCCCATAAACCATTACCCCAACCACACTCCCCCACACCCCATCACCACTGTCCACTACCCCCCCCACCCCATCCCCCCATTACCCTACTCCCCAAACATAACTCCCTCCTCATGAACACCCCTATAATTCCACCCACCATATAACCATAACTAAATTTAAACCACACCCCACCACCACCAAACAACTCAATATTATTTTCCACTCCCCACACCTAATTCCAAACAATCACCTAATCCTCACTAACCCAATTTCATATATCATAATTCCTATATTTATTACACTTATAACCCACAACCTTATCAACCTCTGCCCAACATAACCTTTCCCTCCCAACAAGACCACCCCTTTACATACACTCCTTACCATATCCATTACACCTATCACTATTAAAAATCTTTACCCCTCTTCATCTACCATAAAACAGAACCTCCCACCAACTATACCACCATTAAATAATTACTATAATATATTAGTCCATAACCTACATACCCTATTATACTCACCCCCCCCTCAACCTTCCTCTTCCACCTCAGTACACAATACAACCAACATAGTCACATACGACGGCATTCACTAAAACAAACACACCAAAAAGCTAACCCAAACAAGTGCATCAAAACGCCCATCAAATTACCCACATCTATAAGCCCTCAATTTCCTCCCTAACCCATACACCTGCCTCTACACTTTTTAACCATAATCTCATACAATAACAACACCCCCCCAATTTTACCAACAACCTTAAAAATTCTCCTCCTCACATACCACCCAATCCCCCACCTCAAATCCAATCCCAATTACCCTCTACATACAAACCCCCACTCACACCACCCCCCCACACACACCACCCCCAAATCACAAACAATTACCCCCTCTCACTCTCTCTCACTCTCTCATAACTCACTCTCTCTCTCATTCTACTTACTTCTCTCAAACTTCTCTCACATTAAATCTAACTCTCCCTCTCACTTCTCATTCACTCTCACTTTCTCATTACTCTTTCTCACATTCTCTCTCTCTCTTTTTCTCACACACACTCTCTCTTTCACCTCATTCACTCTCACTTTTCTATCTCTTCTCTCTCATTCACTCTCTCTATACTCTTTCTCTCAACTCTTTCACTCTCTCTATCTATCACACTCATTCATCTCTCTCTCACACTCATTACTCTCTCTCTCATTCACTTCTCACTATTCTCTCTCTCACCTCCCTCTCTCTCATTTCCTCTTACTCTCTATCAAAATCACTCTCACTCCACATTCACTCACACTCTACTTCCCTCTCACACTCCCCACTATCACAAATTCACTCTCTCCCTCAATAATCCTCCTCATCAATCAATCATCCCCAAATCTTCCCCCACCCTCTATTCCCCCATACCCTCCTTCACTTTACAACAATTCCTCCCCTAATCTCCCCCCCATCTTCCCCTCTCCTCAATCCATCTCTCATTAACCCCAAATATCAACCCCTACACCCCACCTCCATACCCAATATATCCATCCTTCATCCATAATCCCCCCCCACAATTCAACAACAACCCACCTACCCCATCCTCTACCCCCCCCATCCTTCACACAACCCCCCCTACCCCCCTTATTATACCCCATTCCTATTATCCCTCAAATTCCAACCATCCCCCTCCCTCCCTCTACATACACACCTATAAAATCCCCCCAAAAAATCATCCCCCTCCCATAAAAACCCATCCAACTCATTCTTCCCACCCACCCTTATCCCAAATTATCCCAAATACACCCCTTACCACAATTACCCCCCTCATAAAACCTTAACCAACAATATTTATAACAACCACTAATCACAACACAACACCATTCACCCTACACACATACTCCACACTAACCCCCACAACCCTAACAAACACCCATCAACCTACATTCCAATCCAACTATACCAACCACAAACACTCACCCCAACCCCCCTCTAAATTTCCAACCTATTCCCACAATAATTCCCCCCACACCTCCCCACCACCACATCCCCCCCCACTACCCCCCCCACACCACCACCCCCCCCTCCCATTCCAATAAATATTCCTTACCCCAATTACTAAAACTCTCATACCCAACCCTTCTAAAATTATCTTTTTCCCTTTCTTACATCCCTCTATACCATTAACATACCTTTACTCATTCTATGAACATACCCCACCCTTAACTTTACATCTCACTTTCCCCTAACCCTCTATCTACTCTCTCTTTAATATCCCCCACCAATACCCAAACCAATAACCACCCCAACCCCTCTTTCCCCATCATCCCCTTTTCCTCGCTTCTTCATAACCACCATATCCTCCCCTTTTCCCACCAACAAACCCCCCTAACACACCAAACCCAAACCCCTCCCCCCTCACAATACACACCCCACCCCCCAATATTATTTACTCCCCCCAAATCCAACACTCCACCCATCATCCCATACTCCTATTACTCCAACCCCAAAAACCCCTAAAACCTACCAACTCTCACCATCATCCCCCCCACTCCATCAAATCCCCCTATAACCCATTAACACCCCTTACACCCCCCCCCTACACTCTACTACCCCCCGCCATTCCATCCCGAAAACTATAATTACTACCCCACTACTCCTACAAAACCCACCCTTCCCCCCATCACACACCCACCTCCCACACCATTTGCTCTTCCCCCCTATTATCCCACCACATTACACCAACCATAGCCCACTCTCCACAACACAATCCCCAACCATAGCATCAGCCTTCACATACAAACCCTACATTTAAACCTCTCCTCCTACATCCTCCCCATATCTCAAACATTCTTCCAAATACCCCCAAAAAACCCCCCCCCCCTATTACTACTAATTCCTCCAAACCCCCAACCCCCCCCCCCCCCAATATATCATACACCAATCCTCAACCCCCCCTAACCTACAAATCTATTCATTCCCATCCCCTACCAACCCCCCCCATTCCCACCACCCCCTATACAACACCCCAAAAACCATTAATCCCATTCTTCTATATATACCACCTTATTACCCACCCAACTTCCAAAAACCACAATTCAAACCCCAAATCCATAAAAACCCACTATATCTAAAAACCCACAAAATCATATTCCACAAAATAAACCACCTCTTCCACCCAAACCCAAACCCCCAACCATCCTCCCACTTCACATCCATCATCCTACACAACCTCAATTCCATAACCAACCCTAAATTACCTCCACCCCCCTCAATCCTAAACAAAAACAACAAAATTTATAATCTCACCCTCATCCTAAAAATCAAATAACATCCCAATAAACCCCTCTCTACTACCCCCTACCCCCCCCCCCTCCCCCAACCCCCAACACCACACAAATCTTTACCTTCACAAACCCCCCCACACCCTCAATCAAAAACCCACCCCCTATTCCCAAACCCCCCACCCTTACCCCCCCCCACTTCACACAACTACACCTAAAATTCAACCCACTAAAACCCCCCAAACACCCCCAATCCCCCCAACCACCCTTTCCAACATCCCATTCCAAACCCTACCCCCCCCATTATTATAACCATCTCTCAATCTTCTTAATCCCCTCCTCCCAAATCTTTCCCCTCTCTTCATCACCCTCCAAATCCCTAATCTCCCCCAACCCCTCATCATCCCATAAACCTTATCCAAATCACACACCCCCCACCCCCCACCCCACCAACTTCACACAAACCCCCCTACATACATCACATCTTACTCCCAAAAATCCCATAACCCCAACCAACAAAACATAAACCCCCCCCCCTCCCTTTACTCCACTCCAATACCCTTAAACATCATACCCACAACCCACCCAAACATCCTCTTTTCACCACCACCTACAAACCACCCCCATTCCATCTAATAAAATAACCCTCTTCCTCACATTACTTCCACCCTCATTCAATCACCCTCCCTACCCCCACCAACAAACACCTTTTCTCCTTACCCCACCCAACCATCCCCCTTTCCACAAACCCCTCTAACCCCCACACTTATCAAAACAATAAACCCACCACAAATATTATATCCCCCCACAACACACAAAAAATCAATTCCCCTCACAAAAACTCCCCCTATACCCAATTCCATATATATACATACCCCTCAATATATTATACCAAATACAAATACACATAACCCTCCCCCCCCAATATATACCCACCCCCTATACTCCTCTCCTCCCCCCTTCCCCCCTCCCCCACCTATCAACCTCCCCTTCACCCTAAAACCCCCCACAACCATTCACACACCACACACACCCCTACATACCCATAAATCCCCCAAAAAACCAAAATCCCCCACATCTATAACACCCCATCCCCCCATTACATAACCCAAACAACCACATATCTCACCAACCTCCCACACAACACCCCATACCCCCCACCCACCTTTTCCCACTCCCCTAATCAAACCACCACACATCTCTACCATAATCAATAAAAATATCCCTCCCTATTAATCCTCAAACCATTCCCCCTCCCCTCCCATCCCACCCCCCCCATATAACAAAACCCATTACCCCCACACAAAACCCCTATACCCCATTCTTCCCCCCCCTTCCCCCTCTCCCAAAAACCCATCCCCTACCCCCCCCACACCCATACCCAATATCCTTCTCACCATATACCCCCACCCCTCCTCTACCCTATACCATAAATTCCACCCCCAATTCACCCCCCCCAAACCCCCCCCCCTTCTTAACCAAACATATACCACATCCCCATACTTCCAATCCAAAATTCTCTCCCCATACAAACACCCCCCCCCTCCTCCCCTATTACCCAATCTCCCCATAATAAACCAAACACCTTATCACCCCTACCAAACCCCCATTAACACCCCCATCTCATCCTTATCATCCCACCCCCCCTCTCACTTAACCCCCCCTCACTCAACCCCCACCCAAACCACCATATCCAACCCCAACATACCCATACAACCTTACCCCCACACCCAAACCTCCCCCCTCTTTACCCCCACTCCACATTCACTTACACCCCCACCCAACATCCCTTCATCCCCCTCTCCCTCACTTCCCCAAATAACAATTAATAATATTTCACTAATAAATCTAACACTTCTACCCTCATCTCTTCCTATTTATCCATCCATTTTCTCTCTCTCATCTCTATCAACACATATCAACCTCCCCCCTACTAACAACCCAACCCCCCTACTTCTCAAATCCAAAATTCCCACCCCAAAACCCCCCCCAACACACTATCTTACCTTTAACTCACAATCATTCACCCCCTATATCCTCACCCAACCCATCCAACCACAAACCAACAACAAAACAACCACCCCCACACCCCCAATATTAATCCAAAACACTATTCCCCCTCTCCCCCTAATCCCACAATCCCTCTCTTACAAATCCAATTCCCAATATATAACTACCTCCATATCTACCCACCACCTCAATCAACAAAATCAATTTCAAACAAACCCACATCCCTTATTTAAAATACCTTTAACAAAATAATCCCACCAAAAAATCTCAGACCCAAATACAACCCCCCTATTCACCCCAACCCCCCAGCATCCATACACCATCACCCCCCCCCTATCAATACCCCCCAATCACCACCCCATAACCCCCATAACACCTTCCCATAATTACCTACACCCCCCACACATACCCTACACAACCCTATTTAAATCCAAAATACCACCCATTTCCCACCATAAAATAAACACCATAAACCATAAAAGACCCCACCACCAAACTAAAAATATAAACCCAAAAACCCTATAACAAAACTACCTAATAAAAAAACACCACACAATCAAATCAACCCCCATTCCCACACTTAACATACCCACCTCCAAAAAAAAAATTTACCCAAATAAACCCAACCTTACATATAAAACCCCCCCCCACCAAATAAAAAATAATTCCCCACCCCCCCCCCATACTTTCAAACCCCCCCTCCATAAAATACATAAACCAATAACTACAAAAAAACCCATATCCATTACTCCTATTGTCCCTACCCACTTCTCCCCCACTCCCAGCCATACCCTTTTTCCATCATCCACAATATCATATTACATAAACAATCGTCCCCATCCACCTGCTCTTACACTTTAGATACCCTCATCCCCATTTTAACATCGACATTATATCACCTATACCAACACCCTACTTGCCCATCAAAGTAACCGCAATATACCCATATTATAAAAATCTCTAAGACCGTATCTTAAACAATCCCTCATCACAAACACACTTCATTTACCCCTTCAAACCCATAAACTTATAACAAAATCCAACCCCACATTCCCCCAATATGAGTAATCCTACATTTCTGATTCTTTCAAAGTCTTCTTAACCCCACCACCACTCCCCGCTCCACCCCACCCATTTCCTATCCCCACCATCTTCCCAAATCCTCAGTGAAAGCTCATCCTAAATACCTTTGACTTTGTCACACAAAAAAGTCTCCATATATATGAATACCTCAATATATACACTCCCACTGTAAGTCTTCATCAATTTGCTCAGAGTATGGAGCTGACATTTAAACCATCATCTGCCATATACCCGTCCCTCACTTCAATCCCAGTTTACCAACCGTTACCTGCTCCCTCTGTTCCTTATGGCCGTCTCAGCCATATCCAGCCACAACAAGATTTACATTCTACATACAAATTATCCCCCACCCCAACTAGATCGCCCGTACTCCTCCTTTTACATACCCCTATTCAGTTAATATACTAAGTTATTACCCAATCTTTACACACGAATAATTTCTGCTTTCTTTTTACACGCATCCCCAATTCCCTCCATTCCCTAACATAATATAATCCATTTATACCATCTATCCTTTCACTTTAATTACCCACCATACCACCTCCAATCATATACATCCAAAACCCCTCCAATCCACCAACACTTTCCCCATCATACTTCCATATCCGTAACCTAAAGTCCACCATCAATTCAATCAACTCATTATGTTCATGATTCTTACCCTGCCTGTCTTATATCCCCACACATACCCTACCCCCAAACATACAAAACCCTGCCTTGCTCATACCCCCCCCCACCTTTTAACCTCCACCACCTCCCTTAATTCCCAACTCAATTTTAGCTTAGCCTCCCTCTCTTCACTCCTACCCACCCCCCCAACTCCCTCCCCACTCACCACATACACCCCTAAACCCACATCCATTCAATCTCATTCCACCCAATCCACCCAACACTTCCCATTCCCAACTCCACCCCTTCCCACACCCTCACCCCTTCTTTTTCCCCATTCTCATTCCCCCACCTCCCCTATAATCATGCCCCATTTCTCTTTCATTATCTTCCAATCCTTGTCCTCTCCACTCCCCCTCACCCCCAATATCCCATCTTACCAACAATCTCAACAACAACCCCACATACATCAAAAAAACCCACCTTCCCAATACAATAACAAAACATATCCTCCCTTTCTCTCTACTCTCACCACACCCCCCCTTCTTTCACCCTCCTAACCCTCTTCTCCCTAACCCCCTCAACCCACCCTCATCCCCCCCCATACTATTCCCCCTATCCCCCAACATTAACTATACCCTTATTTTTCAACCTCCCTTCATCAATTACCCCACCCCCATTTCTATACACCAATCACACCACAAAAACAAACAACCCCTCCCTATACTCCACTCCCATATCAATCTTATTCATATATTCTCCTCCCATCCCCTCAACCCACCCTCCTTCCTACCCCCATTTCCCTATCCACCCATCATTCCCCATCCAACCATCCACCCCCCCTCATCCCAAATCCCACTTCCCATTTATTCAAACCAACCACATACCCCCCACTCTCCCATCCCCAACCTCCCCACCCACACCCCACCCCCAACCAAACCATTAAATATTAAACAAAATCATAAAATACCACCCCTACCCTACTACCCCCCTACCCCCCCTATACATACACATTTACCCCAACATCCCCTTCCATACCCTTTCCCACCCCTTACCCCCCCCCCTATACATATATTTATATCCCTCCCACCCATCCCAACCTCTCTTTCCCCTTTACCCCAACCTCCAATACACTTAATTTCTCCCCCCCCCCCCCCCACTATAAACTTCATACTACCCCATTTCTAATATCCCACCCTTCCACCTATAAATCTCCCCCCACATATAAACTTCCAAATCTTCTCCCCTTCCCTCTTTTTCAACCAACCCCCCTTTCAAATCTCCCCTTCCCCTTCCATCTCTTCTCCCTCCCCCCCCCCTTATAAATCCCATTACCTTCCTCTATCTATTTACAACCCCCCATAACACTCCCCCCATTAACTCCCCAACACTTTCCCCTTTCCCCCCCAAAACATCCCTCTCCACTTCCTCACCTTTCTCTTCTCTTCTTCTCATACCCCCTTATTAACCATTTGCCACCCAAACATTACCAAATACCCCCCTCTTACCACAACCCCCACCTCTTTACCCCATTCCCTTTTTTATACCCCTTACCCCCCCCTATACATACTCCCCCCATTCACTTCCCAAACCTTTCACCTTAACATCTTTTTAACAACCCCTTTCCATTCCTCCTCCCCTTCACATATCTTTCTCCCCATCCCCCCCCCTTATAATCCTATTACTTACCTTATCTATTTACCCCCCCCCCAATAACACCTCTCCCCCCCATTATCTCCATCCTTTCCTTACACACCCCCCCTAAACAATACCTCTCACACTTCTCAACTTTCTCTTCTCCTTCTTCTCATACCCCTTATTAATCCCAACATTTCCATCACAAAATTACCTCATACCCCTCTCTACCCCCCAACCCCTTTTTACTCCTTTCCCTTTTCTACATTTACCCCCTCCCTCTACTACACATGTCCAAAAAAAACCCCCCCCCCCAAACAACCCCCCCCCCCCCCCCCCCACCCCCCCCCCCCCACCTAACCAAATCTAATAAAAACCCCCCCCCCCAAACTTCTCACATACAACCCCTTTCCCCCCCCTCAAAAATTCTTCCCCCATCCCCTCTAAATATCTCACCCCTACCCCCCAAAATCCTTCCTTTCCTACCCCAAAAAATACCAAACCAAACATATTCTAAAACCACCCACACACCACCTCCAACCTTAATCGCCCCATCCTCCAATCTCACTTACTCCACTATAATCATCCTCCCCCATAAACCCTTAACCCCCTCCAATAACATTCCCCCCTATACCCTAATAATAATATCACCATATCACATCTACACACCCTATTAACC